GGAACGTTCGGGGCCACCCCGTATAATCGGATAATACAATTACATAATAACAAACGGATATCTCCACTTAAGGTGGGCTAATGCATAAATCAAACGAAAGTAGAAAACAATGTAGAAAAATTGCATGACGACCAATGACTGGCAAATTCTAATTATGTGGAGATATCCGTTTGTTATTAAGTAATTGGATTATCCGATTATATATTTAATCGGACATTTTTCCCAGTGTATTTGGAACTGTTCCAAATGATTAATTATCGCGGTTCTGTCGAGGAAGCGATAAACGAGCAGCCTTTCCTTTCGACGAGGCGGCGTCTCGTCGAATAGTTGCACGCGACAAACTCGTATTATACATATATCCAATATGTACAATTGCACATATAAAATTAATACATATTGGGATAAATAATGCGAGTTAGTCGCGTGCAGCGATTCTCGAAACGGGCCGCGAAGAGCTCGTGGAAAAGTTCGCGCGCCATCGTGTATGGCTCACCTACAGATGAGAGTGTGCGCGTGGCCCTAATCGGTGTGTGCCGGTCACACTCATAAGGACAGCCATAATAAAAGCTTACCCTCGCATAATGTGGTCTCTCTCGCTTACATGGCTCGCGAGGAGGATGGTAAATCACAGCGACTCCCACCACACGTTTCCCTACTACGGTCGCTATACCGGTAGCCCCGTTACTCCCCGTAGCCCCATCGCGAGCCGCACGTGGGCCATCCTCCCCACACATTTCCACTATCGCTGTGGCTATACATATAGCTGAAGCTAGCATATCCGTATTTCTCTTATGCGCCTTGGTTTTGTTTACAACCCCTGACGACTCGAGAAGGCATATTCTCTAGCATTTCGTCGATCTCACTGTTACCGTACTCACATCCGATTTCTGAGTTAGATATTCTCTCCACTGTCGATAATAAGTGTTAGCGCGTATCGTATAGGGTTTTCACGGATTAAGATTATTTCTTTGTTTTTCTTCTTTCTTGCGGAAGTTTTTCCGACTTGAATCTCTTGCTACGATGGGTTAGGGACCGAAATTATTCGTTTCTCCTGCTATAATAGCAGACGCAATAGTCGAAATGTATCCGTTTTATTTTTCACGTGATATTGATGGCGAGCAATTATTCGAATTTTTGAAAACCGCATCCTGGCAAAGTTTCGCGGCCCATTTCAAGAGTAGCTGCACGCGACTCGCATTATGTATCCATTATTATTGATACAGAGCGATAATTATTTGAAACTGTTCTAAATCGATGCAGCTATCCTCAAACGAGACGCCGCCTCGTCGAAAGGAAAGGCTGCTCGCTTCTCGCTTCTTCGACGGAACCGCGATAATTAATTATTTGGAACAGTTTCAAATAATTATCGCTCTGTATCAATAATATTGGATACATAATGCGAGTCGCATGCAGCTACTCATGAAACGGTCTGCGAAAAGCTCGTGGAAAAGCTAGCGCGCCACCGCATATAACTCACCTACAAAGGAGAGTGTGTGCGTGGCCCTGATCAATGTTTGCGGGTCATACGAATAAGGACGGTATTTCTGTCAATTTATGGCATAATGCGGTCTCTCTCGTTTACACGGCTCGCGAGGAAGATGGTAGATCGCAACGACTCCCACATTTCCTCACTACCGTTGCTATGTTATGTCCCGCCAGTCTCCGCAACCCGGGCGCGCTCCTATCGCTTGAGCGGCAATCCCCACTTTCGGTACCTCACCTACAGGCGGGAGTGTGTGCGAAACCCGACGTTGTGTGCGAGTTTCACGGACACGGACAAAATTTCCGCCGGTGCGTGTACATACATAAGTCACTTTTTGAGGCTGGTCGCCGTAGCTTTGAAAAAGCTTAGCACTCGGTCTCCAGCGATTGATAAAATTGAAACCGATTTCAGTTTAGCACTGATGCAAGCAGTTATGGAAGGGTTCAACGGTATTTTATTGCTCGAGTATATGAACCGTTCATATCAGGATATAATAAATAAAATACACATCATAATCTCCTTAACAATTTTGCATATTTGTTCTTCCCATATGATTCATACCATTAAGAGGAAAGGTTAAAAAATCTTTCAAACAGGATCGCAGTATCGTCTTGTGGGAATGGCACTAACAAAACTTATTCATAGTAATAATTTAAACGCGGTTGAAGAAATATTAACTCATATGATTATAATTTTTTATTTTAAAACAGTATTATCAGATTTGGCAGAAAGCGTAAATTTCATTCTTGAAACTAGTGAGTTTGATGAAATACCGATGAATACAGAAAACGAAGAGAACACACAAATTTCGCTATCCGACGAAGACTGTGACACTGACCATGTAGCAACTAAAAAATCACCATTTTTTAAATTTTTCAACGACGTATATCACTCTGTTAAGGAAAAAAATAAAGAAACGAGCACAGAGTCAAACGAGTACTATTACTCAGCATTTATTAATTACTTGCTGTGCTATGTATTGCTTTATTATCCGTGTTTCTCGGCAACTCATTTGACAGGATTTGGTTTAAAACGTGACTCTAACGCATCGGACGAAAGTTGGTACAGGGTTGTAAAACGCCTCCCTCGTGGCGAGCCACCTTGTCGTGGTGAGGGGGCTTGTAGGCGAGCGTCTGTCTGGAAGCCGCTGTGTACCGTTTTAGGCATCGGCGGTTTCGGTGACGGGCGCTCGCTGACTAAGAGCTCGCCTTTCCCCCCATGGGGGAAACATGGAGCCCGACGACTCCGGTCTCGGCTGCCTCGATGGTTATGTCGAGGTAGTTCCGAGACCACTCGTCGGTAGGGGATGAGGTACCCCGAGTGCAAACCTCCGGCTGCCGGGGCCGTAGGGGGGAGCATGCTCCTCCCACCGGTTCGGGTAGTCAACCTCCCGATCCCATTGCACGCCGGTGTTCCGGCAGGGATCGGGAGGAACCTGACGAGGTGGTCCGGGGGGGGGGGGGGGGGTTCTTTCGCCCTTCTGTCACCTCCAAGACCCTGATCGCCATTGCACGCCGGCACTTCGGTGTTCCGGCAGGCGGTCGGGGTCTCAACGAGGTGTAAGCCTCCCACCTCCCATTGCACGCCGATGCTCCGGCAGGGAGATGGGAGACATAGCTCCCCTGTCACCGGGCTGGACGTGGTCCTGTCCCGGGGGCAGGGGAGGGCCCGACCCTGGTCGCTTAACCAAGCGTGGCTTGGGCGGCCGGAGAGACGGGAAGTCGTGGCCTCTCTGCGGTTGACTCGGACGTGGTCCGTTTCTTCCGGAGGGAGGGGCCGGACCCTGGCAACGGACTGAGCGTGGCTCAGGTTGCCGGGCGGGCCGGAAGACAGACGGGGATCGGGGCCGCTCGGACGTATTCCGAGGCGGGGCCCGATCGCTTGGGGATCGCCGGGGCCGCTGGAAATTACTTCCAGGCGGGGCCCGGGGGCCCGGAGAGTTGGGCTGGCAAATCTGCCACCCAACAACCACTCGCTCGCTCTGAACCGGTCAACCCCTGTGTCTGGGGCCGACGTCCCGTTGCTGGGGCCTGGCATGGGGAGGGGTCGGGAATGGGCGAGAGGGTGGGTGTGTGTGTCGGAGCATGAATGGGACGCGGCCGGCTGCTGGTGAATATTTCCCTGAGACTAACCAAGGGGGGAGTAGTAAACCCCCCGACCGGGGACGGGCGGTGACGTTAGTACCTGACCTCTGCCGTGGACTACGCGGGACCGTAAGTCCAGAATCTTCTGGCAAAGCCCGCAGGAAGCGGCATGTTCAACGTGGGAGAACCGCTCCCGTCCGTCTGTCTAGAGCCTATCAGGGAGTTGAAGCCAGTATGCCGGGCGCGTGTATGGAGGGGCGGCGAGCCACCATCCCCTCGTACCCGTACTAAGGGGGAAGTTCCTTGGTGAACTCTAGCCCGGGGGCGAGGTAAGCGGCCGATCGGATCGGTGCGCGCCTCGCTCCTGGGGTGAGTATAACTTTAGCTTCAGAGTGGGCCTGGCCGTCTCCAGGAAACATTTTTCTCTAGAGTCATTGGCTGGGATAGGGTGCGGCTTCCCCGACAAGCGGCCTCTCCGCTTCCCGGCCCGTAATTAGGGCCTTTCTTACCCGGGGAAGATCCCCCACTGCGGTGGGAGTGCCATAGTGGCCGAACCGGAGGAAATTCGTAACTGCCATCATGTCTACCACTCACACAAAAAACACGACGATGAGCAAAGGAGACGGTAAGAAGAGGGGCAACACTCGAGGGGAGAACACTACTTCTCTTGAGCGAGAGCCCCAGAGCACGGCAGCCAGCAATCTGGCAAATATAGAGGGCTACAGTTCTCGAGTGGGAACGAGAACAAGACCGAGGAACGCCAAGCAGGGAAGAGTGTACACCTTCTCGGGTGGCTCCGACACCGAAGAAATGATAGAGGTGGACGACACGGAGCCTCTGGCACTCGAACCCTCGCGTGCCTCGCTTATAGCAAGGGGAGGGGAGTTACCCGCTTTCAGCTCCAGCAAGAGTGAGGACGTGGATGAACCTAGAAAGTCTAGGAAAAGAGGGAGACCCCCAACAACATTCGAGGGTCTGAAAAGACGAAAGAAGATGGAGCACAGGAAGGAAATCCGCAGCTTAAAAGCGGAGAAAAAGGCCCTCCAGGACGTGCTGAACCCGAGGGTCCTCCCGAAGGACCTTACACCGGAACGGGAAACGGTGCGTCAACTGGAGGGACTCAATAAGGCTCAGCTGGCTGCGGACATGCTGAGCAATATTAATGTGGTGGATAAGGTCGCTGAAAGGTCTAAAAACCTGAAGGGGACCTTTGTCCGAGAGCTACACATAAGCGCCAAGAACCTCCGCGCAGCGGCGAAGGTAATCTCGACCGAGAGGGACGCCCGGGAAGGACAGCCCAAGGAGGTGGAGAGACTCCACCAAAAAATCAGGCAGCTGGAGGAGCAGATCGCTGAGCTCACCAGATGCCTGAAGAAGGAGAGGAGCCTCGGGACACCGGTGATGGGGGATCCTCTAATGGAATGGAGGACCCTATGAGCCCACGCCCAGTGTCCGCAACCAAGGCGCCTCAAACAAGAACCTGCGCCGCGACTAGCTCCCTCTCGCTGAGGGAACGGGTCGCGGAGTGCGGCAGGAGGGAGGAGGAGGCAAGGGCCGCACGACAACCGGTGCTACGCCCCAAGGTACTAGGGAAGAGGAGAGCGATCCCAGAGCCTCCGATGAAGAAGGCGATGGATGATGTACGTGAGGTGATGGAGGGAGTCTCCATCGCCGACGTTACGAAGGGAAAACCCCAGGAGGTCAGGGCCAACCTGGCAAACTTAATTACGAGATGCCAGAGGGTGATGGCCCTACTACCTGGAGAGCAGAAGGCGACCAAGAAACAAGGGGGGAAAGGGTTGCCCACCATCTCGAGGATCGAGGTGGTCGAAGGGGAGATGAAGGTTAAAGGGAAGGAAGCCTTCAAGAAGGTCCTCAAACAGAAGGCCCAACCTTCAAAAGGAAAGGAGGTGCCCACGGCAGGCAACAAACAGGACACAGTTCCTGGCACGTCATGGGCAGAAGTAGTCAAGAAGGGAAGGGGGAAGAAACCGACCCCCACTCCCCCTCCCAAAGACGCTTCCAAGGAGAAGGCGGTAGCCCAAAAGCCCCCGACAAAGGGGGGAAGGGCAAAAACAAGGAGCCGAAAGGGGAGCGAAAAGCCCCTAAACAGAGAAGGGCCCCAAGGTCAGCGGCGGTGGCCCTTGCCTTCCCCGAGGGAGAGGCCGGGGAAGGCATGCGATTCATCCGATCGCAAATCAAGTTAAAGGAGCTGGGCATTGACAATATCAAACCCAGGAAGGCGCTCACGGGGGCCATGTTGCTGGAGATTCCGGGAGGAGAGGAGGCCAAGGCAAAGGGGGACGCCCTAGCCAATAAGATAATGTCGGTTGTGGAAGGCAGGGGCATCAAAGTGATGCGCCCTGCCAAAATGGCCGAGTTGAGACCAGAGATCTCGATGACTCTGTGTCTCAAGAGGAGATCCAGGCGGCCATTGCCAAGGCGGGAGAGTGCCCGCCGGAGGAAGTGAAGGTAGGCCGCATCAGGATAAACCCCAGTGGGCTTGGATCCACATGGATCCAATGCCGGCTGGAGGTGGCGAGGAAGGTGGCAGCCACCAAGAAAGTTAAAATTGGATGGGTAGCTGCTAGGATCGAGCTGCTGGAGGCCCGGCCCCTGACGTGCTGCAGATGTCTGGAGCGCGGGCACGTCCGCCAGCAGTGCAAGAGCACGGTGGATAGGAGCATGCTGTGCTACCGCTGCGGGCAGGAAGGCCACAAGGCGCAGACCTGCACCGCAACGCCGAGGTGTGCTGTCTGTAGCGCCAAAGGGCTCCCCGCAAACCACAAGGCGGGAGGCACGGCGTGCCGTCCCCCCTCAAAGAGGGAAAGAAAGAGGACGGCCAAATTGGCCAGAGAACAAAGCAAGGGACCAGCAACAACTGAGGTCCCTATGGAGGTGCAGGAGGCTGCTGAACCCATCCAAATGGTTACAGCACCCTCCACGCAGAACATCAAGCGTGCAGCACAAGGAAGTAGCGGTCGGGAGGAGACCGATAAGCCGTCGCCTTCATGGCCCTAAAGGCACTGCAGGCGAATCTCAACCACGCCCGCCAGGCCCAGGACCTATTCCTGCACAGCCTGGCGGAGCGTGGTTGCGGACTGAGAATCGTGGCCGAGCCGTACAGAATTCCGACTCACCCGTGCTGGGTGGGAAGTAGGGACGGTTCGGCCGCGATCACGTGGAGGAGGACCGGCGAAAGGAGTGCGCCAGGCTCCAAGATCAAAGTAGGAGAGAACTGGGTGGCAGTGGAGTGGGGGCCCCTAAAAGTTATAGGGGTGTACCTCAGGCCCAGTCTCTCAAGGGCTGAATTTGAAGACAGCCTGCACGATCTGGAGGACGTCGTCCGGGAGTTCCTCCCTGGACCGGTGCTGGTCGCCAATGCCAAGTCGGCGTTTTGGGGTTCCCGGCGGCTGGACGCAGTGTTGCGATTGGGGCTAGGCTGGCATGGCAATCGCACGACTGCGCATGCGCGTGGATGGGGGTTACAGTGACGTACGCATGCCACTGCGCGTGGACACCACTAGGGCACCCGTCACTCGGACCTCGGTCACTGACAGAACGTATATTTTCTATGGTTACGGATATAAAAAATAAAAAAGAAATCGATTATCGAACGAAACTGTTTCCGCGATTTGTACTTTACGGTCGAGTTTCCAAGCGGAAGGCATTAACTGCACTAATTTTGAGATCGATTCCGAGCATTTAAAATTACACAATCCACAAAATTTATATGGTAACGCAAGCAATTCATGTGACGGTCTTTAATGCTTTTTTAATTTCATTGATTTTTAAATAATATTTTTGTATTTTAATTTTTGTTGTTTTGTATGACACATCTAGCCTTTATCTATCCTTTATTAATGTACAATATATGTTAGTTAT